GACTCTGGACTCCAGTGGTGGGCAAGATCAGTGTGGAGACTAGAACCCACATGCTCTCTCAATTTAACTGAACATCTACCCAGTGTTTACAGTGTCCCACACAACTGCAGCAGGAAATACATACTCGGGGAACTTGAACCCTCTATTAGCTGGGTTATTTTTCTGCGTTCCAGATTTTAAGAGCATGCCTCCAGGAAAGGCAAGCTTCTGTCTGAGGATTCAGACTCTTTCCATTTGTTTTGCAACAGTGGGGGAACAGCTTGAGGACAGCCCACAGGCATTCCTTCCTTCCAGTCTCCTCTCCTTTACGTCCCTGACCCAGAGTGAATGCTGTCACGCTCCAAGTCCTACTCCTGGGATCCAGCCAGACTGCAGCATCACTTTGTACTTTGCTAAAACCAATGTCTCTCACTTGCTTGAATTTTCAAGAGTTTCACCACATCTTACGCATGTGTGTGCCACATTAAGGTCAGAGGACAACCGGCAGGGGTCAGCTCTCTCCTTCGACCAAGTGGGTCCCAGGGACCGAACTCAGGTCTTTAGGCTTAGCAGCAAGCACCCTTACCTGCTCAGCCATCCCACCCCCTTTTTATTAAACTAGATTTTGTTTTGTGTGAGTGCACGGATGCTCGTGTAATGGCTCATGTGTGGAGACGAGAGGACAGCTTTGGGGAGACGGCTCTCTCTTTCACCACCATGTGGGGCCTGAGAATCAAATTCAAGTGTCAGGCAAGCCCCTCTTACTCAGTAAGCAGCCGAGTTACTGGCCCCTTGTTCTGTTTAGAGACAGGGTTTCCTGTGTCCTAGGCTGGTCTTACACTTGATAAGGATAGCCTTAAACCCCTGACCCTCCTGTCTCCACCTGAGTGCTGGGATTATTGGGACGCCATACCACGTTTATGAGATGCAGAGCTTAGTGTGTGCTAGGCAAGGACTCTTTAAAAAATGAGCTGGGTCCCAAGCCCCAGAAACTAACATTTAAAAATATGCAGAAGGATTGTGGGTGTAGCTAGTGGTAGGGCTCTTGCCTAGTCCTTGCCAGCCCCTTTCTAGTCTTTGCCTAGTCCTTGCCTACTCCTTTCTTGCCTAGCCCTTACCTAGTCTTTTCCTGCCTAGCCCTTACCTAGTCCTTTCTTGCCTTGCCCTTACCTAGTCCTTTTTTGCCTAACCCTTACCTAGTGTTTTCTTGCCTAGCCCTGACCTAGTCTTTTCTTGCCTAGCCCTTACCTAGTCCTTTCTTGCCTAGCCCTTACCTAGTCCTTGCCTAATCCTTGCCCAGCACACACACAACCCTGAGTTCTATCCCTAGCACAGCAGAGAAAGTAAGTGATCCTGAATTAGTGCAAGGTAGAAATAACTCTTTTTGTTTGTTTGTTTTGTTTTAGTATATCCATTAGATATTCATGAATTTTCATTGGATGAAGATTCTCCTTCTTCCCTGTAGTGAAGGAGGATTTTGAGTCTTCTAACCACACACTGGGTGGGAGGCTCTGGGTTCATTCTGCCAGCTCTGGACCTTGGCCCAAGCTCTGTCAGAGACAATGAGTACTTGCTTCTCGGGATACTTCAAAGAGGCGCGTTCTCCCAAGACACAGAGCAGCCTCTGTGCTCCCCTATCACTTTACTCCTGGACATTGTCTCCCAGTGTGAAATTCATTCATGTCTAGGCCTTGTGAGACAAGAGCCACTGACTGGCTCAGTTAGTAAAGTGCTTGCCTAGCACACACAGAGAGCCCGAGTCCAGCCTGGGCACATGAGACCCTGTTTAAAAACAGGTGAAGAGGTGACTGGCAAATCCTAAATGAGCCCCATGCCCATGAAGGTACCAAGCAGGCTCTACTAACAAGGTCCACTTGCTACTACACGGATTCTCTTAATTTCCCCCTGGTTGAGCCCAGGGAGTCAGGAGGAAGACAGGTGGCCAGAAAGAAGGTTCTCAACCTCACGCACACTCATTGAGCTTTGCCCACCGGGCACAAGCCTGCCCTGATGCCCAGGTGCTTCATCCTCAGAGGACAGCCCTGTCCAGATCCCTTTCTTGTATCCAGGGCCTCTGGAGCCTCTGGGCTCCTTCAACAAATCAATGTTAGATGAGTGGCCTTAGATGCCAGGTACTTGGTTTAAAGCAGGAGGATAGGGGGAGGGGTGGGAGGAGCCGTGCTGCCTTGGGGGGGGGCAGGGGCTACGGAGGGAAACAGGTCACAGTTGCTGCCTTCACAACACTCATGGCCAGTGGCAGAAGGGACATCCACAGCATCAGCCTGTCCCAGTAACTCTGGTTGGATGATGGGAACCATAAAGACAGGAAGACACTCCCTCTCCATACTCAAACACAGCGATAGGTCTTCCTTAAATATTCTTTGATGTGGCTGACAAAACTTTGAAAAGGTTGCTCGCAGGAAGGAAATGGGACTTATGAACAAAATCATAGCACAAGCTCAGACCAGAGAGCTAAGGGAGCCTTAAAGAGATAGCCTCAGTACAACCGTCGGGGTCCCTGACCATACATGCATCCATCAGACTGAACATCCTGAATTCATTTTCTTCAGCTGGTCTTTTGACCTTGGGCAAGGCGAATTCCCTCTGCAGTTCTATAGATGAGGGCGGAGGACTGGACTGGTGGTTTTTATTAGCAATAAACCCGTATATTATCCAAATTTTGTTTTATCTAGAACCCCAGTATATAAAATAAGGGGGAACTGTTCGTATGGAATCAGGGCAGCAAAGCACGAAGCCCTCCGGGAACCCAGATGGAGAATTGCAGAGCTGGAGCCCCGTCCAGAGTGCTTACGGCCTCTTGCAGTGCGCCCTGAGGACAGGAGGGAGTCACCATGGATGTAGTGTTCGCCATGGTGCCTGGGAATCCACAGGTCACATGTTACTTAAACCTCTGCAACAGCAGCGTGCAGTTAATTAGTTTAGGAATTGCGATCTGTTGTAATCAGGGCTATGAACTGGGATCTGCTGGCAAGAAGCAGAATTGGATTTGAACCATGGATTTTCTTTATTCCAAACACAATACCCCAGCCCCACCCCCAGCTCCGCACCCTTTACCTATTGGACTGAATCAATTATTTCCTTGCATCATACATATAAATATATGCAAAAACATAGAAGATTAAGTTATGTTCTTAAAGACTATAGCTCCCCTAAACTACCATGTGATTTCCTTCTAAGGCAAAGATGTAGCTGGTTTTCAGTTTATTTACACCAGCTAATAGTCTATAATGGGTATTGTTAAGGTGAACCAGGAATTGTTCATTTAAATCTATGTTAATAATTCACGTTGAGTTTATGTCGTGAATTAGGGACAGGGTTGGAAGTACCCTTGACCTTTTCAAGTTGCTCCACATCCCACCAATCTCGGGTGCAGAGGGTAGCTGTAGACCTGAGGGGCAATGCTCATGGTCATTGACGTCATCGGAAGTCTCAGTTCTTCAGGGCGTGGTTGTTTCAGAAGGTAACATCACGATGTTGCAACCCCTCCCAACATTACACATCTTTTCTACACCCCCCTCAGGTGCCTCCTCTGCGGGGGAAGAACGGTTGCGTGGATGCTGGCTGAGGACCCACAGAGAAGCCCACCAGGCAAGTAAGCTCCAATGCCCCACCCACCCACCCACGGGAGGTCCTCCAGAGGTCACAAGCAAATTCAAAGAACACAGGACTTCAGGGAAGAAAATGCCACGGAAGACAAGACAAGCTTTGGTCGGGCATGAGGCGTGGCAAGGCGTGCCAGTGGCTTCTCTGTGTTATTGATGCCAGTCATGCCACAGAAATGGAGATATTTTACATGCCACCTGAGGGTACAGAGCAAACCTCCAGCAGCTGGCAACAGCTGTCGCAGAGACCTTTGTGGAGTAACTTGCTGGACTTTGGGAGGCAAGGGCAGAACGGTGGCTGGGAGACAATGGCTAGGACTTTAAAGAACGCCACTCTAGATGGCCTTGAAAAATCAGTCGAGAAGCCAAGAAGAGAGATGTGCCAAGACGTGGGATGCGGCGCTGCACTGTCAAAGGGAGTTAACAGCCCCTCTTTCTTAGACAAAGAAAATGCTGGGCACGTGCTCCTCACCCAGGCCTCCCCAGACCCATTTCAGTCCCAGGTCCCCTGAGCAGGTGGTAAATCAATGGTCCCGATCCGGGCAGGAAAGGTGGGAGGAAAGAAAACAAAACAAAGTCCCCATCACACATCCCCAAGGACTTCATACAGGCCTCACCCCAGATGACTCTGCTCTCCTACACCGTTTGGGAGGTGTCACCACCGCCGCCCTTGGCGGTGGTGGGGTGGTGGGATGCTGTCTGTCACTTAGAAATTCCCTTTGCACACCCAGAGGTGCCTGCCCCTGTCTCTCAACCCCCTGCAAAGGACAGCAGACAAGAGGGACGAAGACATCTACTCCAAGATGCACACTAGTCTATATGCCACCTGCCTTTACCTCTGTCTATTTGAGAAACCTAAAAAGGAGTATTTTCCCCAGTCCATTGCGTGCCCCCACTTCCTTCAGGCTACTCGTCTCCGCGATGACCCCTCCAGGCAGCGCCTCTCTTGTCTGTCTGTCATTTTCACCTGACAAAGCGCGGCGGCCCGCGAGCCCAGAGCATTTCTCCCAAAAGAGAGAGACGTGCGGGGCACCCACTCCTGGCCCCTGCAAATCCGCCCCACCCGTAATGGAACAAAGCAATAGAGGCAAGGCGAGACGCATCGCCCAGCACGGGCGACTCCACCGGCGTGCGGGGACCCACGCCCCGGTCCCCCTGCAAGGCGCCGCCCGCGCCTGCGGCCACCCGTGGACCAGTAGCGCCGAGCGTCCTACGCCTCCTCGCGCTCCCCGCGTCCCCAAGCAGCTACTGTACCTGCTAAATTTAGCGATCGCCGGGTATTAATAGCTCTAGCGACCCGGGGCTGGTGGCTGGTGGCTTGCAGGGGCGCGCGGCCCTAAGGGGACCTGGGGACCCGGAGGGAAGGGAAGAAGGGACACAAGAAAAGAGGCCACTTACACCACCAGCCTGGAGATGATCCACGACACCATGGCGGGCG